TCACCCAGAGCCTGGTCAGGCTGCTCTGAGCTGAGAACAGGGGCTCCTGGAAAAGGAGGGACCCTTGTTGGAGCCCCAGGAGCACCCCGTACCTTTAAAGACAGGCAAATGAGAGAAGAAAGGTGTATGGAGTGTTGTGTCCAGGTGGATGGAGATAGAAAGTGATCCCGCCCCAGCTGCCCGGGGAAGTGGGCAGGCAGGCAGCCCGGTGAATGTCGGTACCCAGGTATTGTCCTCGACTGCTGGAAGTTTGGGGGTGGGCTCGGGAAGGGGGCATTCTGGATGGAGCAAAGGATCCTGAGGTTCCTTCAAGCCATGAATAAATTGATTAGTAAGGCTTGCTAAATCTCCATTCTAGAACTATTTTCAATGCCAAATGCACATTTGGACCTCTCTACCCGAGACTGTGGCACGCTAAACGTGTCCTCACTTGAACTCTTCCTCTTCAGCCTCCTCCTCCGGCCGCCTGCGTCTCACAGTGGGCTACTGTAGAACTCAGGTGAGAGAGGGTGGTGTTTTGGACTACAATGGAGTCGTGCAGTAGAAGTGCTATGGAATGTTTGATTTTGAGATATATTTTTGAAGCCAGCAAGATTTGGTAATTTCATGGCTTCGGGCCAGTTATTAAACAAAAGTTAGATGAGGTTCACAGTAGGAAAACACTCAGAATATGTCCGGAGGAAAACCAAACCATGCTATTCTTAAAGGTTATATCAAAAAGACTGTTTTGCCTCTCCAGGAAGTTTCATACCAAGAATTACCAAATTAACATCCTATCTTCTTGAGGCTGTAATTCTGACCTCCAAATCCCAGCGACCAAGATTGCTGTGTGGGCATGACGCAGGCATTAACGTAAGGGTGAGACTACATGCGTTTAAGTCTTAGCTCTACCACCAAATTGCCTTTTAATCAATGGCAAGTTACTGTTTTCTCAGGGCATTCATTCTTTCATCTAATAGTAGCTACCTGTAACTATGCAGGTATAGTGTATATGTATATTTTGCCTCCATTCACTGACTTTCTTTTCACAGAATTATAGTTTTGTAGGTCTCTCCTTCCTCCCTGCTTTCTTTATTGTTTTATTTTTGTATCTTTCTTGTTTCTAGTTTCATAGGCAGGAGGAGGGGTTCTTGCTGGCTTAAGCCAAGCAGGGTATACTCATGGCGACTGTTACCAGGTCAGGAATAAGCATGCGACCTGTATTAGTCTATTCAAGTTTTGGAAAGGGATTCATATGCCACCACTGCGGAAAGGGCTTCCCCACCCCCACTCTGTTAGAGGAGATCAAGGAGATGAGTGGCACCAGTTGCCACTGGCACCCATCTTGTGGGCGGTGAGAGGAGCCACCAGCAATCTCCTGCAGACCAGGAGGACAGCAGAGGAAGAACCTGGAAGCTTGATCATGTCATTGAGCAAATTGCGCTCTGTCTGGGGCCGCCTTACCTTTGGGCCCCAGTTATATTAGACAATAGAATGCCCTTATGTTTTAGCTTATTTCAACCAGGATTTTCATATACCTGCAGCCAAACGCATCCTGATACGTTACCTGTGGTAATGTGAGGATTAAATGAGGTAACACCTGGGAAACATGTATTAGCACAATGTGCAGTCACTAAGCCTGGGTTGTTACTCTAAAGTCTGGGATCCAGATACTTTGCAGGCTGCCCCGGCTGGGGGCCCGGCTTTGGTAGGATATAGAGTGAAGGCAGGTAAGGAGCAGTAATGTGGTGTTACAGGGCTCAAGAACAGGGGAAGGGACACTAGGTCCCCTCTTTTTTCCTTTGGAGCCTACAGTGAAGTTGAGAGAAGTCAGCCTTCTCAGTGAATGGGAAAAGTCTAGGCATGAGTGTCATCTATGGGATCTGAGCCAGTTGTGTTTGGGGGATGGAGAGGGATGGGGGCCAAAGACGCAGAAGCCTTGGTGGGGATGAGGGAGGGGCTGCTCTTTCAAGCCCTGTAGAAACATGATTACTCATTATTTGGCATTAATTCCCCCCAGGCCCCTTTAGAAAAGTACAAAGAGCACTGCAAGAAGTAACAGGTCTGTGATGGCATGAACGAAGCTCGATGATCACTCTTCTGTTGACTGAAAGGCTTCTGAAGTTGCAGGTTGGGGGTTGCTGAAAGCTGAGTAAAAGGCCCAGAGAGACTGAGTCACTTTCATTCATTCAGCTTTATTGAGTGCTTACTGCATGGCACAGGGTAAGAAGCTGAAGTTAAAATGCCAGTGAAATGTCCCTGCTTTCAATCTGGGCATCTGAGGTGACTTTGGGCCAAGTGAAGACATTTAGAGGTGATTCCCAGAAGGGAAGTCTGGGCAGCAGGTCTGTGGTTGGGTGAGCTCCTCTGGAACTGCTAGTTGAGATCATAGGTAAGGCCACCTGAGGGGGAGCAGGAAGGGTCAGGAGAAAGGGAAGAGGCTGGTGGTGGAGCCTGTGGGAACACTACCAGTTCAATGATGAAAAGCCATCAGGGGGTTGGAGAAGTGAATCAAGGTGACTGAGCCAGAAAGGTCACAGTGTCAACTATCTCAGGGCAAAAGGGATACTGACTGAATGTGTTCATTGATTGAATCAGTTTCTAGAAGCTCGTGGGTGAACTCATAGGGTTTTCTGTGTTGTTGGGTAGGCATGGGTCTCACCCTCATGTGCTGGTTTGTGGATGAATGCTGTGGAAATGGAAAACCTTGTGATATTTATCCTGTACGTAGTTTGGTTCTAAAGGGGAGACGTAGAGTAGAATAAAGAGGAAGATATGTTCTGAAGCATTGCTGGTAACGTGGCAGAAACTTACTCATATTTATGAAGAAAAAGAGTGAGAATGAGAAGCTGCAGATATGGGGGAGGAGAGAGCTGACAGAAACAGCCAGGGCCTTGGGGATCCAGAGTAGAACGATCTCCCTTTGAAGGCAAGAGTTCCCATCCTGGAGTGGCGGAGGCCTCCCCTCCACCAAGCCCTGTGGTAGGATCTCTGGTAACGAAGGTGGTGATGCAGCATTACTCAGAGGGCTCAGGTGAGGAGCTTCACACATGCTTGACAGCACCTGTCACCTAGGATGTGTGTGGCGTGATGTTCTCACGACTCCACTCTGAGCTGTAGCAATGGAACGGTGTGAGTACCTAGTTCCTTGGAGTCACAGGCATGAGTAAGGTTTGGCAACCCAGGAGGATGGTCGCAGCCACTTAGGCAAAGGGGAAAGGAAGGAAGAAGCCACAATGAAGGGAGCGATGAGCATTAGTAATGATAAGGAAAAGAGCGTGTCAATGAAAAGGTAAGAAGGTAGGGGTGGGAGTTGTGACAGTGTATGGGAACACTGGGACCCCCATGTCTAGCCTAGAGCATGCTGGCTTAAAGTGGTCAACAAAATTATGATAGAAATGAAGTGACTCATGTGAATGGGCAAAGAGAAATGTATCATACCAATATACCTTTGGATTTGCTATTTATTTATTTGAATAGAAACATTTTTTTTCCTATTCACCAGTTTTGTGGTACTATGATTTCCGGGGTAGTGTATATATCTATAGTTTGCATATAATGTGTCTGATAAATTTCTGCTTTGAAATGTAGTAAAAACCTCAATGATGAAGAATTAGGTAGGCCCCAGGGTCAAGTCTTATTGCAATTAGTGTAAATTTAAAAAGTTTTAAAGTAACAAATTTTACTGTGTTAGATTCTGAAAGCACTTGAAACCAGGCTAATAAAAGCAGCTACTTCAAGGTCTGAGAGCCCATATTAAAATAATTTTTAAAAAGATTTTATTTATTTATTTTTAGAGAGATGGGAAGGGAAGGAGAGAGGAAGAGAAACATCTATGTGGGTTGCCTTTCATATGCCCCCTACTGGAGACCTGGCCTGCAACCCAGGCATGTGCACTGACTGGGACTCAAACCCCTGTGGCTCTTTGATTCTCAGGCCTGCGCCTGAGAGCCTATATTTATCAATGGTTAGTATAGAACAACTGTCATGAGTATATTTTGCTTTTAACTGGGGGTGTGAGAGTTACTGTTAAAGTAGTTCAAAAGTGTTTGGAAGTGGTTTACCCTTTAAGTTGGTCAAGCAAGCATGTTCCATACACAGTTTTATTTTCACTGGGATCTTTGGAAAGTGGTAGAATAGGCACAAACCTTTCTGATCTCATTGAGGGCCATGATGGGAAGGCAACCTCATGTTATCCTCGTTCTTCTTCTGACTGTCTAAAGGGCTTTGTGTTCCAGAGTTCTATCATTCTGAGTCTCCATTAAAATCACTCGCTTGGAATTAGTCATGCACACGTAGTGCACAAAATTGCTGGTGGAACAGAGAGAGTGGGGGTGTTTAGAGAAGAAGGAACAAATGCGTTTTGGAGCAGAAGCCCTCCCCTGGTAAGGCAGGGCTGGGTGGGTGCTTAACCGGGGAGCTGGGAGCAGCCAGGGGTGGCAGCACGTGGGCACCGCCATCACCACTTCCTGTCACTTGTTTAACACACAGCTCACACGCACACATGCCTGAGTTCTAATATATCAAGTAAAAAAAATCAAATCAATACCAAATTATCTTTCTTATAAAACCCTAAAAAACATGTAGAAACCTCTCTTTTTCCCAAATGACCAGTTGTTTCTTCAGCAACCTCACAGAAAGATACTTTTTTTGATTTTATTTATTTGTGGAGAGAGGGGAAAAGAGGGAGAGAAACATCACTGTGAGAGAGAAACACTGATTGGTTGCCTCTTGCAGGCCCCCATCCAGGGACCGGCCTGCAACCCAGGCACGCGTGCACTGACTGAGAACAAACCAGCAAGCAGCCTTTCTGTCCACAGGCCGGTGTTCACTCAGCTGAGCCACGCTAGCCAGGGTGCAAAACAACAATTTTTATAGCTTAGCCCCAAATTTGTATATAGTCAGTTTGGTTGACTGGGACCAGTAAGTTTGGAACCTACCAGTTAGTTCCAGACAAAAACAGTCACGTTAGTTGTTTAGACATCTTTTTAATGTTTTATTTTAAAACAAATAATCCCAGTGAAAGAGAGCAAAGGAAATTACATTTTAATGGTAGCTTGAAATGGATATTCCTGATTTGTTTTCAGGAAACAGACAATTGCATTGTCATACATAACTTTTTGAACTATTCACTTAAATGCACGTAATTATATTAAGTTAAATTTCTCTTACAAAAACACAACCAAGTCATTTTAAGGCAAAAGAAAATCAGCTTCTGGGGAGATAAGGTAATATTTATGATGTTTTCTTAAGTGATCCATTAATTTAGTTACTTGTGTCATTATTCCGTACAGTTTTGCTTTGCAAATGGGCATGAGAATTAGTCCCTTTGTGCCTGGTTTCCTCCTTTTACCTGTTTTACCTGCAGATTAATAACTTTCAGAATCAGAGTCAAAGGAGGAGAGAAAGGCACCTTTGAATAGGAGATAAAGACTTAAAAACTCAATAAAGTGTCTTACTTTAAAGAAAACTTGTAATCTGCCGATATTTAGTTGAACACAAAGCAAACATTTAGATCAGACACAGAACATTTTTTAGTTAACCTCATATAAGGGAAGTTTGCCACCAAGTGTCACCTTGATCAACCCTGGGTGTTGAAGAAGGCAGACGAACTTGTGCTGAGAAAGTAGGTGGTTACTCAGAGCTCAGCTAAACTGTGCTTCAAAACACCATTTGGGACCCACCAATGGGACTTTGCTAGATGTAAGTGGGAGACCTCTCTGCCCTCCCCAGGGAGAAACACAACAAACGGAACCCTACGATTGTCACACAATGCAACTATCTTTGAACATCCAAGATTTTTTTGTGTGCTAGAGTAAGGTAGACACGATATGGTCATGGCTTCAATGTACAAAGGTTTTCCACAACGTGGTTTATCACATTTGCAATGATTAAGACCTCAGTGATGTTCACAGGTTTTGTTTCTGAATCTTCTCTCTTCAGCAATGCTGAATGCACCGTGTTGTGTTTGAGGCCTAAAGAGGCCCAGGGAGGGGTCCCCAATACATTCAGAATTCCTGCTGCCAGTGGGGTTTGACCCAGGACAGAGTGTGTCCAAGAATCAGGGCTACCTGAAAGTTGCCGCCTCCATCCTCTCGCTCCGAGTGCATATAGGCACCTCTCCAGCTTTAGGTCAGTTGAGGGGTGTGCGTGTGCGTGTGTGTTCGTGTGCGTGCGTGTGCGTGAGTAACCCTCTGCAGAGGCTCTATCACAACGTCAGGCTGAGTGGAGGTGAAAGATTGCATTCGACAATTTACTAAGATTCTGTGTTTCAAAAATGAAAATAATTGCTTTGAAAGCTTGATAAAATCTTTTCAACTGGAATGTAAAATTAGACTCTATCTTCTGTGTCACCAGCAGCAAAGTTTCTGAGGGATGCTCTCCAGGGGGAGTGTGCTAGAAGTCAGGGGTGGGTGAGAAGAGGAAGCTTTCCAAATTTCAGTGTCTATCAAAAGGGACAAGGATTTTCAAAGGTTGAGAAGCACATTTTGGGTAGAGCGGAGAAGCAGTTTACTTGTGGATGGAGGCTGGTTAGGGCCTGGTTATGTTCAGAAGCAAAATACTGGCAGGGAATCCACAAGCAGTTAATGGAGAAGAAAAGTGAGGAGAGAGTAAGGGGTGGAGAAAGCCAGTTGTGAGAAAGAACTGGGAAGGACTGGCGGATTTCAGGGCCCCCTCTTGCTTTTGGGCATCCAGTTGATAACCCTGCTCATTCTTCTGGGTGCTAAAGAAGTATTTCTGGAGGCAGTACTATCTGTGGGGTTGGGGAGGGGAAGATTTTTAAAAGTCCTTCTGTGGCTAGAATTGAACTGAATTGAAGCACTATCTCGCTTCTCTTTGCCTTTTGAAGGCCATTGCCTTGGCTGAAGTTCTGCTGGTCCGAGATCACTAGACTGGTTTCTAACGAGCAGTCAGCATTGCTTGCTTTCTGGTAAATACATTTTTAATTTTGTTTCTCTTGGGCTTTGGGCTGTCATGTTACATGATGAAGTGTTTATATTTGCAGATTCTGCCAGTGTCACCTGGCTTCTAACTATAAATGTTTATTCCAGGAAACCGAACCAACCATTTCAGATTTGGAGCAACAACATTCTTGGGGCGAATAGAAAATGTTCACTACAGTATAAAAAGTAAAGGAGGTTTAGTTTTACCCTTTCTTATGCAAAATGTACTACATAATAGCAAAGAACATTCAGGGCATATTAAAAAATAAATACCTTGCAAAATTCTCTGTTTCTATATAAGAATAAGATGTTTAGGTAGTTGAATTCTTTAGCAGTACTCATTTCCTAAGAAAATCGAGTTCTCTGATTTTGGTTTATTTCTCTCCCTCTCACTGCCCTTCGAGGGGAAGTCATTTTCTCGAACTTCACTTAATTCCCTGTGTTGTGTCTGGCTTCTTCTCAGGCCTTTCCCATCTCAGTCTCACTCACATGTCTCATCCCCTGGGATCCTGCCTGTGCATCAACTTAGTGGAAACAGCTTCTCTCGCTTCTCCTTTCTGTGGGCAGTATTGGCAAGCCCCCGCTGGTGCCTCTGTGGAGAGAAGTCAGCCCAGTCACACTGGCTGTTCTACTGATCAATATTCCATTTGCTTATGCAGAAGCTGACCACTTATAAAGTTGATCCAGCTATTAGAGAATATATTTTCATACAGTTAAATGTGTCAAAGAGTCAGTATAGTTGCCTCGCTGGCCCTGAATGTCAGGATTTGCACATTTTCTACTTGAAGAACATTCTCTCAATAAGAACAACATAAAAATGATGTGCAACATTGCTTGCTACAGCGTTAAATCACCAAAAGCACACATATTGACATTCAAATTACATTAATAATAACATGACTGAATAGGAATGAGTTGGCAAATATATCTTGAAATAAGCAGCCATTTCTACTATCCCCAAATTCTGCTTTACTTGGTACCTTGTTAGCAGCTGTTGATGAGAGCCATTGTGTTTAAATATACATTACGGCCTAATTTTGGAAATGTATTTTATATTTAATCGCAAAGCAGACATGGCTGAAATTTGAAGGTGTTTACTCCCATAACTCCAAAAATACAGGGTCAAATCTTCTAAATGACCTAATTTTCATACACTCCACAGCATTAGCTGTATTTGGTTTCTCAGGATTTTTTACTCAAGGTACATTACTAAATGAGTGGGTTAATGTTGCTGTACCTTGGAATTTCAGCCATTCCTAAACATGCATTTTCATGCAATTAAAAGATAATGGGCTTATAAATTGCCTTTCATGTTCTTCCTGATTCTTGCAAATTCAACTTTTGAAGGGCTTTCAGAATAGTTCATGCAATGATATGTATGGCTAAAGAAACCGCTATGCCTAGAAAGAAAATGAGGAACTTATTTCAGTTTGACATGAGGCAAGCTAAGGGCATCTGTACTTTCTCCTGCCTTACAAATGCTCTGAGATGATCGAGATCTTCCAGTCCTTAGAGAGTCTGATGCAAAAGCAGTTTCCCTGGCAGGCTGCGGTGCGGCATCAAAAGTGTCTGTCTCCATTTCTTCTGAACCCACCTCTTCATCAGTTATAAACAATTTGGATTCCCTCCATTTGGGGTAAAAATCTTGGCTGCCTCTGGAGCCACTTGACTCACTCCCTGAAAGCTGTATATTCAGTTCCTCTGTCGACCTGATCAGGTTTTGTACAGACAGAGATTTGCCCAAGTCCTTGGGCGCCACCGGGTGGACAGACAACAAAGTTTCTCCTCCCATGTCAAAGCTCTTCCGCAGAGAACGGTCCTTGGTCAGATTGGACTGTGCAACCTGAACACTTTCCTTGGAGGCAACAAGGCAGGTGGTGACATCAGGAATGCTTTCTGGTAAGCCCGTGGGGTTTGGGTGCAGAGTCTCTGGCCGGGGCAGGTGCTTGATGGCTGGGAGAGGAGGCGGGATCTGTAAAGTTGTTGGGGCTACTGGCTTAGGTGCCGCATTTATTTGGTTTGCAATGTTGTTGGTGGCCGCCACTGAGGAGACATCACTTTGACTCAGTGGCACCTGTGTTGCTTGACTGTGCATAGTAGGGCTAAGCGCATAGAAAGTCTGAGCACTGAACTCATTTGGCGTCAGAATGAACTGCAGGCCTCGGGAGATGTTGGCACTAGCTGATCTGGTTAAGCAGCCACTGTTCTGTGCGGAACTAGACAGGTCTTTGCCGTCCACAGGGCTTTGATAGTCAGATGTCTGTTCACATTCAAAAGGTGGGATCTGGAATGAGGCCAAAGTGAGGGCTGAGGCGGAGCCTTTCCGGAGGACTTGCTGATATATGTCCAGGAGGCAGTCCAGCTTGGACTCAATGGACTGCACCTAAAAATGGGGAGAATGGTTACATGTGACTATAACTTGCTATTAAGAATGGGCTGTACTTCTAGAATTTAAAAAAGGGAACCAGGGTGTGCCAATACAGTAAAACACTGAGCGTGACCTGCTATAATCCAGACCTGCTATTTAGTGCCATCTTACTTAATTTTTTATTTATTTTTTCCATTTAGTCCCATTTTAGAACATGATATCTAGCAGTGGAAGGCTCAAGGGAGGACTTGGAAGGAGAGGGGTGCTTGACCTTTCCATAATCTTCCTTGGCACCCATCGCCCTTAGTTCTTTAAAAGTGGACAGTTGATATTCTCAAAAACCATACAATTATGGTACAAATACAACTTCAAGACTCCCTAGTCCAATTGGTTGACGTTCCTAAGCCTCTTCTGTGAAGATGTACTGGAACTCTATTGCAGTATAGTAAGGAGCTTGTTCTATCATAAAACCAAGATCTTAAATATCAATCTAGGGGATTCTGAATTTAAAAATCAAGGTACAGGATGTTTCGGAATTAATGTCAGAAGTATTTATTATTAAATTGGGAGAGCAACTTGATTTCTAGAAAATGGTCTTTGTATGAGATACAGCTGAGGGTTAACAAACGCTCAATGTACCATAATTGTGATAATGAGATTTTTTTTTAAAAGAGTGACCTAAGAGAGAGACAATGAAAATAACCAAAACACAAGTAAAAAATAGCTGTTTTTTTATCTTACTGTTGAAAATCTATAATTGCTTCATGTTTGATTAGATGAAATTTTCTATTATGTGGAAGTCCAAGTGTTTAGAGAATTCTGTTTATACACAGAGAATATTTAATTTTATTCACTTTTTCTTGATTTTATTTCTTAAATTTTTATTAATACAATTATTGTGCATTGTTAAAATATATTAATCACTATCAAATATATTAATCACAATATATTAATACACCCAACTGCCTATAATCAGTTTTGATTTAAAAAATAATTCTGGCTAAAATTTTAACCATTATTGCTCAGTTGTACCTGCTTCTCAACCTTGACCACTCTGCCGAGCATACTGAGGTCATCTGTGGTCTCATGTTCTGCTGTTATTTTCTCTCGGCTCTTCTTATCCGATGTGATTTGCCCTTTTCCAAGAATCTGATCGACACTATCAGAGAAAGAGGACATCTGGTTATGTGGCTGAAGATGGAGGTTGCCCTCGGCCAAGTGAAGTGTTTTGAAAAGAAAAATTAAACAATTATCCTAAAAAATATTTTATTTATTTATTTTGAGAGAGAGGGGAAGGGAAGGAGAGAGAGAGAGGGAGAGAAACATCAATGTGTGGTTGCCTCTCCTGTGACCCTTCCTGGGGATCTGGCTCGCAACCCAGGCGTGTGCCCTGACTGGGAATCGAACCAGTGATCCTTTGGTTTGAAATCTGTCACTTAGTCCACTGAGCCACACTAGCCAGGGCACAATTATCTTTAATTTATGTAAGATGAAATGAAAACGAACTTGTTTCAGTTGATGTTCTTATTTTCTTAACATGAAAATTACACATGAAATTAATTTTCTCACTATTCTGGTCCATTATGAAATCACTTATGGGTGATGTTCTGAAAGCAAAATTGTCCTAAACGACACAGAAATTTGTCTTTTCTGTCTTTGACCAAGTGTTTCCTGAATACAACTATTTAAAATATAACAAAATTATCATTATGATGGTTTCATGTTAATAGATTATATATTGAACATTTATTGTACATCTGATATGTGGGAGATAAGCAGATAGGAAAACTATCGGAATTCTAGTTGGAAAATATACCCTACATTATCTAGATACTCTAGATTAGTTTTGGAAATTCTGCAGCAAAAACCCTGGGACCCACAGAGAGTTCCATTACAGGACTTTGAAGACCGCGACTGCTTAGGCAAAGATTGTAGCATGACCACAGGATGAGTTAAAACAATTTCCAAAGAGACTCAGTCAGGCTAAGTGGGAATTGTAGTACTTTCTTCTTTGTTTGGTGTGCTTTACAACTGAATTGCCAGGAGTACTGACTCAACTTTCCACTTTGTCTGCATAGAGATACAGGCCAGACCTACCTACTGTCGTGACAGCTAATCTATTAAACTGCAGGCTCAAGGGGATGGGGTTATTATTTTATTAATATTTGGATGTCCATAGTGCATGGCACACGGTACAGGCTCAAATAATTATCCATTGAAAGAATGAATGAACAGATTGTAATTTTTTGTAACTGATCAGCTGGTGTTTTACTAAAGGTCTGGTACACCCCTCATTCTGTCTAAGTGTGCTCTAGGCATATAAACAGACATTTTAGACTCTGTCCTTGTATTTTAAGAACTGCTTAATCACAAATGTTGGTAATTGGTGCCTGGTAGTGAAGCAAGACCCTTAAAAACTGAATTGACTAAATATTTTGCCCTCAAGATAACACAATGACACACATATAGTGGAATAACTCGTTGAACTCATTTCTTTTAATCACCGAGTGAGACGCTCACTGGAAAGACAGCGTGTGTTTGGCGTTTACAGGACATGAAGGAAAGCAAAGGCCGAGTCTTAGTCACAGCAAGGAGAACGAACTTGCAACCAGAAAACAACACAAGAGCCAGCCAGTCTTGACTCTGGCACAATATGCGAATATTCAGATGGTTTTTATCTCCACAGCAGGCTTTAAGTGCTCTGGGAGGTCAGATGGGGAGGGTCTATTTTTTGTGGGCTGGATAGTCAGGTAGAGTTTAAGGAGAGAGGAAGACTAGTTCATTCTTGAAGGATGGTTAGGATTTCGGTGATAACAGAACAATAGCAGCAGCAGTGATAATTCAGATGACACCAAAACAGCCATTAATATTTATCGAGCAGTCATTTAACCTGTTAACTCATTCAATTCTCATGACAACCCTAAGAGGCAAGCCCTAACATATCTTCATTTTTACAGATGAGGAAACCGAGACCCTGCAAGTTGGAGGCTTTTAGTACCTGATTTACATCCTTAAGTAAAATCCGTGTTAAAAGCTAGGTCCAATTGTCCACTAAAAATGAATTAGAACTATGGAATTTAAGAGTTTTCTCTACTACAGAGGTATTCCCAAATAGTTTCCATGCCTTTCCTTGTCAACAAATAACATTTTCATTGCTTACCGTGTTTGAAGGCTCTTAATTCTACACAGCATGTCCAGGTGACCAGCAGAATACTGTTCAATGACATCTTTTACATCATATGGGCGTAACGTTTCTTTAAACTTTCGCTTTGCAACATGAAATTTCATAATTCTGTAAGAGCAACAGATTACACAATAATCTTTATAACTTTATGAAAGAAGTTACAAAAATAGCTTACTAGTAGTAAATAAATACAAGAAACTCTGGGGGAAAAAGTTGTGCATCAAATTATTTTAGGCCCCTATGAAATGCAATAGAAAAGCCTGAGATTACAGTGGACAATTTAAGAATATGTCATGTGAGGCACACCTTGAGGACAGAAAAACACACTAAAAAAGAGACTATGAAATTTTGTACCTTTTTAATGTTTGTTGAAACCTTGATTTAAAATGAAAGTCAAAATGCAATTCTACCTTTTCTGTGTCACCCCTAGAAGCCCACCTAGTGATTGCATGCATCACTTGTAAAATATAAAGGTTGTTAAAGTGGTTTTTATGTAACAATATTCATTACATTTTAAAAAATAAATTGGGTATCTTTAAAAAAAGCCCTTTATTTTAATTTAGAGAGAGAGGAAGGGAGGAAGAAAAAGTGGGAGAGAAACATCCATTTGTTGCTGTTGGTACTTGTCCCCACTTGGGACTGAACCTGCAGCCCAGGCATATGCCCTGATGGGGTATTGAACCAGTGACCTTTCAGTTTGCTGGGTGATGCCCAAATAACTGAGCCACACCAGCAAAGGCCTAACAATATTCATTTTAAGATGCAGATGTATCTGCAAAACTCTCTTATTTTCTGTAGAAAAATGTACATCTGTATAGAAATTTATGAAAATTTTACTTTATAAATTATTTTTGCAGAGCACTGTTTCATTAACTAGCCAAGTTTCTTTTGTTTCAGACATAATATACTGATCAGCTAAGTTTGGATGTCTAAGCTTTTCGGAACTAGAGTTTTTTTTTAAAGATTTTATTTATTTATCTTTAGAGGGGAAGGGAAGGAGAGAGGGAGAGAAACATCAATGTATGGTTGCCTCTTGTGCGTCCCCTGCTGGGAACTGGCCTGCAGGGAACCTGCCTGCAACCCTGGCATGTGCCCTGACTGGGAAGGAACTAGAGATTTTTTTTGTTGCTGTTCCTCTCCCCAACATGGACCCCGTGCTTTAAAACAACATTTTACCATTAAATTCCATGATGCCATAAATAGCTAAGCTACCTAAGGTAACCAGTGACTGCAATAACTTGATGTAATTCCTGAAGAAAGCAAAGAACCGTAACATTTTAATGAGTCTGCGCAGCTTTATTACAGGTAGATGTTAAGTCTTGGTGTTTTTTCAGCCATTAAATGGCTCATAGACTCCCATTATCACTTCCATGGGTCCCCGGCTGGGAATCAGTCAGTGAGGCTCTGTGGACCAAGATTTGTCATCCTTGGTGGAAGGTGGGAAGATTAGGAACAAATGTGGAGTGTAAACAGAAAATCCTCATTACCTATTCCAGTGGTAGCTGATTGCAAGGAATCCAAATTGCTTTACTGGTTAAAAAGCCCCAAACTCTATCTTGTAATTGTATTAACTTCAAATTAATTGTATCCTAATTATTCCCAAGTCATTTACCCATACTGCATGTTGTATTTTTAAATTGAGGTATAGTTGACGTTAGTTTCAGGTGTGTAAGAGAATGATTTGATATTTGTACATATTACAAAATTATCACCACAATGAATCTATATCCCCATATATGGTATCCGTATATATCCTCATACATGGTATCCATAAGAACATAGATATCTAAGAATATCCCTAGTATTCTTACTTTCCCTACCACATTTTCTCAACCTATCTCCATTCAAGATAGTTTTTATTTCAAAGATATTTAAGCAAAGTTATTAGCAGAAAGTAAAGGAAATATGTTTTAATGTAACCTCTCTCTTTTTTCCCTATCCTCACTGAGGACATGATTATTGATTTAGAGAGAGGGAGGGAGAGAGACATCACTTGGTTGCCTCTCATACGTACCCCAACCGGGGACTGAACCCACAACCTAGGTATGTGTCCTGACCGGAATCACACTCTTTCTTGTCTATGATGAAGCTCTAACCACAGCAGCCACAGCCACAGCAGCCAGGACAGAAAAGCCCTGAAAGCCTCTTTGCTTATCTTCCAAGTAGCTGATGGTGCCTGGTTGGGCAGGGAAAAGGGAAAGTCATCTTTATACTTTCCTATGTGGTTTTTATGGTTGTCACTATTGTTTGTGTTTTCAACATTATTACCACTTGTTATGTGAACTACTTTTTATGTCTCATGTTGAACAGCACGTGATAAGATATTTTTATCTCCCTTTAAATTTATGGAAAATGAAGTTCAGAGAACTGACTTGGCCCCAAACTAGCAACCAGTATGAGGCAAAGCCAGGATCTCACCCAGATCTGTCTGGTTCTCACCCCCACATGGCCTCCTGGTTTCCCACGGCATCATTTCTGGGGACGTGGAGGTTAACTGTGATCTTTTGGCAGAAGCCGCCCTACCTGCAGAGGGACAAGCTTTGCACGAGTGGATGTGTGCCCGCTGCCTGTAGCTCAGATGTTTCGGGCCAGCGGCGTGTCTGCTCTTCCCTGTAAACTGAGTTCTGTTTGCCCTGATGGGGACCTGCCCTTGTTTCCTCGTAGAGACTTGTATGATAGCTTGTCTCAATGTTGTGCACGCTCTTTTCTTTCCCTTTCACAAATACGTGAACAGGGGGAACAGTCTGGAGGCCTTCAATGGGCAATGTCACATTCTAGCCCTCAGTCCTGTTTTAGGCGGAACTTAAATAACTTCATTTTTATTTACATAATTTACTATACAAACTAGCCAAATTAAAAGAAAATCCATGTTTTGAAGTTTTGGTCAATACTTATAATTTTAATTAATGTCAAATAGGAAGTGGATAGTCTTTTATGTTATTTCAGGATGGTCATATGATAATAGGTATGCAAAGCAGAGCACATATTAAAAGTCTTCACTGGCTTCCCATTTATTTTTACACGTTACATCCTCCTTCAGGTGGTAGTGCTTTGTTTGTAGGCTTTCCCACCTTCTCTGGAACAATGCAAGTTGGGTTAGTAAATACCATTGTAATGATTTGGAAAAGAGGAATAGATGCAGCGGTGGGCTGGCGCAGACTTGTACTGACTCCAAAGAGCTGGTTATTACAGCTTTAAGAAGATTTCTGGTTGTTAAACAGAGCCATTATTAAAAATTAACTTACATAAATGTACAATAAAATAAATTACATTAAAACAAAGGTAATCTTTCCTCGAATTTCATTACTTCCTAATTATTTTACTACATGTTACTCTCTCTGCTCTTGAGTTGCACACATCTTTTGTGTCTGTGTGATGGAGACGCTAACAGTGTAATATTGCAAATCTCTCCCAACTTCTTGTTCGGTGATGTCACACTGATAGCGTGATAGTAACTTTGGTAGCTGTGTTTGTGCAGTGGAAATCAGCCAACACTACAAACCAGGACTTTAGCCTCTAGGATAGCTGATTGTTAAGTTTACCAGTGCGTTACTGAGTATATAAAACCATCTCACCTACTAAGAATTAAGTTTCGCCCTGGCTGGTATGGCTCACTGGATTGAGCATCAGACTGTAAAACAATGGGTTGCCAGTTAAAGTCCCAATTGAACATGTATGGGTTGTGGGCCAGTTCTCCAGGAGAAGGCTCACAAGAGGCAACCACACATTGATGTTTCTCTCCGCTTTCTCCATCCCTTCCCCTCTTTAAAAATAAACAAACAAACAAATAAATAAATAAACTTTATTCTTAAAAAAGAATAAAGTTTTCTAATATAGAAAGTGAGATCAAATAGATTTTCTTTACTTTTTTAAAAAACATTTCATTTATTTATTTTTAGAGATAGGGAAGGGAGGAAGAAAGAGAGGTAGAGAAACGTCAATGTGTGGTTGCTTCTCACGTGCCCCTCACTGGAGACCTGGTCTGTAACCCAGGCATTTACCCTGACTGGGAATTGAACTGGCAACCCTTTGGTTCACAAGCCAGCACTCAATCCACTGAGCCACACCAACCATGGCTCAAATAGGTTTTCTTAACTGGCTTTGTTGTGAGTTTAAAAGAAAAACAGTGAAGAGGTCTGAGATGAGATAATAGAATTCTAAATTGGGTAATATGTTTTATAAATGTGGAAGGAATGTTTAAAAGCACAAGTACTTTTTAAAATTGATTTTAGAGAGAGAAAGAGAGAGAGAGAGAGACAGACAGACAGACAGATATCGGTTTGTTATTCCACTCATTTATGCATTCATTTGTTGCTTCTTTTATGTGCGCTGACCAGGAATTAAATCCGCAACCTGGCATATCAGGATGGCACTCAAACCAACTGAGCTACCTGGCCAGGACCTAAAAGCATAAGTAATTTTGAAATAAATATATGGAGAAAAACAACAGTCGTTTTCGTTTTCCAAGGGCAGACCAAGCATGTACTGGTAACTCTCAAAACTATCTCTTCCTTGTTATCTACATTAGAAGAATAAACCTTTCAAAATGCAAAGATGACCATATTAACCCTTCCCCTCCAAGAGCCCCCATTGGTTTTCCATGGCCAATTGAGTAAACATCAAACTCCTTGGCACATTCTGTAGGGCTGTGTATGGACTGACCTCTGCTTATCTCTCTTGCCTCAACTGCTCCTGCTTCCTCCTTGGAACTTGAGGTTCCAGCAACAATAAAATATTTGTAAGTTCACAAAACACCGTTTGATCAAACATATACATCAATTATTTGCATATACTATTTTCTCTTTCTGAAATCCTACAATATCTTTAAGACTCAGCTGTAAAGTCACCTTTTAATGGAAATTTCTGTAATTCTTCCAAAGCAGTTAATCACTTGTCTATCAACTTCTATTTTAGTATATAACATACCACATTGTAACTATTTGCTTATATATCAACCTCCTCCCTGAGGCTGTATGAGGTCCTTGCATACAAGTTGCGTCTTTTCCCCTTGATAAGCTCTGCAAGGAGATTCAGTGGGCAACTTGAGAGGGAAGAGGGTAACAGATGCAGACAGCTCCTCTCCAGATGCTCATCTCTGTTCATCTCTT